ATGTTCTTTGTTTTCATTTATGACTGTAGCTAGAGTATAATTTGGTGTAGATCTATTACTGTTAATAGTATGGTTCACACCTGAACCACTATTTGATAGCTCAGTTCCCTGGCTCATGTTATAGTCATGAGTTAGTTCCCTGGAGTGTTCGTGTAGATGGGAGTACGTCTGACCGCTTCTACCATTGACTAAGTAAGTATCACTCTGGTCAGTGTTTGAGTTTACATTAGAATCTGTACCACATACTATCTCCGTATACCCATGTCCATAATCTTCATTCGGTTCCAGCTCGTTGTAAGGATGTTCTGCGATTTGTTCGTACACAATTCCGTCTTGTTCTTTGGGATTTTCTATGCTAGTAAGAGCGGTGGTTGAAGAACGTATAGTATCGTTACGTGATAGGAAAGCGGGGACTCTACAGTTGTATCGTAACTTCCACATGACGAGCAATGTGATGATAATTGCTGCGATTAAAACTGCAGCTACGATAAGGCCTACAGCAAGACCACTTAGTGCTTTTGATTGGGTTGAGGTTTTGGCGGACTGAAATATCTCAGTTATTGAAATGGTAGGCGTTGTAGACGAATTTGACGCTGAGATTATTGAACTTAGAGCTAAAGGGATTGTTGTAGTTTGAAGTATAGTACCTGTAACATTTGAAGCATTGACACTGGTTGGCTGTTGCTGGCATGAGCAGTTGGAGTTATTAAGATTAAACTGTGTTTCACATAATTTACAATCACTATTTATTTGGTAAATTGTATTAACACCATCACAGATACCGCAGTTGTTTCCAGTTGAAATATTGATAAACAGTAGCCTCGAGCACTGATATGGTATTAAGGGCAAGGTTGTGGTTTTTACAATAATTTTATATGTATTATCGTTGAATGAGCAGTTATAGACTTCGATAATGTTTTCATTTTGACATGTTAATTTGGTGCAATTCCCGCAATATGCATTGCAAACTTGACAATTTTTTCTAATGTCATCATTTTTGCTGAAAATATACACATTAATCTATGTAGAATAAGGTAACAAGTATACGGTTTAAAATTTAACTATTTTTATTTCAACTGCTGAACTTTAATTCAGAAAGCGTTAATTCAAAATAACTTCATTAGTTTAGTCAATGGTATGGTTAGTAATGACATAGAATAATATAGCCAAGCGAAGGAGACTGTTTATTGTTTTAAGGTTATTGTTGTCTTGTGTAATTGAAGGTTGGATTTACATTTTAGTAGCATAAATATAAATGACCCTATGTAAATCGATTTTAGATCCATGAAATATCTTAAACTTAAGTCTGCCATGTTTCAAGTGCTACCACTCCTGGAAAAAAAGGCTGAAAGTAACACTAACTACAGGTCAGGTTTGATGTATTAATAGGTTAGGGACACGCCCCTCGGGTTATAGTAGAGGTCAAGTGGGCGGGAGTTGAATTGCATTTGAGAGTGAAGCTGAGAAAGGGAAAATGAATTTATTTGTGAGCTGGTCAGGTAAATGTGTTGACGTGTTTGTCTGTCTTGCGTATTCGTCGTTGTGTCGTCTTTTATGTATTAAACCAATCAAAACTAAAAATCGTTTTCTGTTTCTGAATTATCAAGCCAAGTCATGCCGACCTACATTGCCACCCAAACTATCACCTCTCACTGCAGCAGTCATCCCATTATATGACTCATTATCAGTATAGAAAAATATATGCACCAAGTGTCTTTATTTCAAATCACACGAATTATAAGCCTGTATATAACTAAACAAAAGCTTTTTATGTTGATTTTATAGATTTTACTTATTTTAAGATAGTGCAACATATAGGCCTACAGATGATTGCAAAAAAAAAAAAAAGAACGATACAATTTTTTACAGATTTTTGAAAAAAAAAATATTTAAAATATTACCAATAATCGTTCAGCAAGTTTATACATTTATTGCCATTGGCGAATATTCCAAAATGTAAACACAATAGAAATAGAAGAAACCGATAATATTGTCGTTCCATTGTGTAGATATTCCTACAATAGATGTTGACTTGAGCTGCAAGATTTGTAACATGTGTTAATAATTTTTTACCATATAATTAAAATGTTAAAAATTACAACATATTTTATATATATATATATATATATATATATATATATATATATATATATATATATATATATATATATATATATATATATATATATATATATATATATATGGCCCACACCAGTTTAAAATAAAATATCTTTTTTATTTGTTATATTATCATCATTATAACGAACTATATATATATATATATATATATATATATATATATATATATATATATATATATATATATATATATATATATAAATATATATATATATATATATATATATATATATATATATATATATATATATATATATATTATTCCAAAGTTAAACCGTTAATATTTATAAAATGTGTGTAGGTCTATACAGAAAATTCCGTAAACATTATTAACACGTCGGAACAAATTATTGTTGCGTGTCTTCTATTTTTACCTTCAGTAACACTTCAAACTAAGCCGCTATTTACTTCCTTCTCCTGATCGTGACGATTACTTAATATTATCCATTAGCTGAGCTATTTTAAAACTGCAAGATGCTGTCTCATATTTACATTAAGAAATCCCCACTCGCTCGATTTAGAGGATATACTGTAAACCATTTTATTTAGCCGAAATGTAAATTCAAGTTTAAAATGTTCACAATATACTGTTTTGTAATATGAGCATACCAGAGCCATTGTGATAACGCAATGTGTTTTTTGTTCATTTTCTAAGCCATATTAAATTAATCAGTGAATCAGGATTTGTGAACCCTAGCAAAAGGTTTATGAAAAATGTTAGGCCATAATGGAAAGTATTGGAGGAAGATTTAGCTAAGGGGTCTTAATTATGTTAAAACAGTATAAATAATATACTTATGCTATGTTATCCGTAGATAGCGACAGAATAATTCACCACATTAAAAAAACAACAAATTAATAAATTCACTTTTCACTTTGATGTTTTTTGAATTTTTTTCTAAATTAAAACAGTTGTAGTGATTGTCTTTATTTTAGATTACACTGTACATGTCATTCAAAATGTATATTGTAATGAATATGTGTTACATGTAGCTTAAAATAATTGTTACGTAAAGCTAAGTTGTTAAAAACTCAAATACATTACACACAACAAATATCACCTACCGTGTATACTGGTTGTAGCCGACAGACGTAACAAGCCAGAAATAAAACTGGTTTAACCGTTTAGAGGCTTTTAACAGTTGTGCCAATAGGATTTGGTTTACGCTTGACTACACAGCCTACGTGAAGCATTGTACGCAATGTGCATGAGTATTGGGCTAACAAATATTTTAAAGCCATGAATAATATGCCCCTTATCTCTACACATAATGAACACAAAATAATTTTACAAAGGTATAAAAATGCACCTAAACGTCTCATATATATTTATGTATGTGTATGAATGTTCTGCTAGGACATATTTAAATACCGTTACACTTTCTGTGAACATACATTTAGAGTGACTGCATTAGACATGCATTTTTTTTCAATATAAATCTAAGTAAGATTTTTCTTGTTTTTCGCAATATAGGTTTCGTATAGGTTTTATTTTAAATAAGATTGTCACAAAAGATAATCTTCTACAAATTGATAGTATCTTTTCAAATCAATCATCAAATGGCCCTTGGAAATTAACACACGTCTGTTTTCGTGTACTTCCGTGGCATTTGTACACCCATGCACAATCAGGAAGGCAGCACTTATTTGGTTTTGGAATTTTCTCTCCTAGATAGGTTTCTGCCCCGTGCTAATTAGCCTCATCTAACCCCTGCCAGAGCTCGGAATATAAACCTAAATAGACATGGGGTCACCCTTTCGTTTCAGTACAGCATCAACCCACACCTACGTTTTCCAACCAACAAGTGTAATACGGTACGACGTTGTCGAATGATAGAGCGTTTGGCTACCAGCCCGAAGGTCTTTAGTTCGGATCGCGGTTCGGAATTTCGACTGCTGTATGTTCATCAGGCTGTGGTGGGTACTTAAATTTCATTGAGGAAAGTAAAGACGGTTGGGAATAGTGCTGACCAAATTATCCCATGTATGCTGAGGCTATAGAGGTAAAACAAACAGACCAGTTCTTTTAAGCTGGAAAATGGATCGCTAGGTATAAAGAAAAACATTACTTTTAAGTGCATTATCAGAATAACTAGTGAATTAAGCATGGAACCAAGTTTTAAGTTTTTTTTAAATTTATTTTGATAGGTGTATTTGTATACAGCACAATGGTACATGTTAACACATTTACATTAAAAACTAGAACAACATTACAGAAAAGAATACTTATAGCGGTGTATAGGCCTACTGTGTCTGTATAAGAGCGTACAGAATCTAACTAGCATCACACATTTCCAAAACACATTATGTCTTCAAAAATATCCTCAAGGCACCGTTTAATATTGGAAGGGCCATTCTGAATAACATTTGAAAGAAATACCTATAGTTTTTTATAAATCATACGATACCAAAAATGGTTTTTGTGCACGTGCACACCAAACACACACACACACACACACACACATATATATTGTGTGCGTGTGTGTGGTGTGCGCGCGCACAATAACCATTTTTAGTATATATATATATATATATATATATATATATATATATATATATATTTATATATATATATTTATATATGTATATATACAATGAATAACCTCGTTCAATACAATACGTGTCCATATTTGTTTAATTCAGTAATAAAATAATTGTTCAATTTAATTTCACAAGTCACTCGACAATTGTTTTACCAAGCGCAGTAATCCCTAAAGTGCCCTAAATAATTTAAGTAAATATAACAACGCCAGCGGTACGAGTTAGGTCCCCTAGTGTAAAGTGATTGGAAGAAAAACACAGGTAGGCCGTGTTTATCTAGAGCTAGGGTTTCTGGTGTGTGTACCAGCTCCTATATGTTAGCCAACTGTCTACTGGCGTGTGTTTAACTCGAGGAGCTACGGTCACGTACATGGACACCAAGTAAGTGACATATGAATACATGTTTTGACCACTGCTTTATCTAGATATGTTCGTGCGTTTATGTTTTGTTAGATAGAAACTGGTGATTTGTTTAGTCCTTTCAATATACGGATTTCATACACTCACACACACACACTTACACTCACACATATAAACACAGACACATATAGAGACACACACATACACACAGACACAAACAGATATATAAATATTAATATATATACAAATGTATATCTATATATATATAAATTTATATATATATATATATATATATACATATATATATATATATATATATATATATATATATATATATATATATATATATATATATATATATATGTGTATATATATATATATATATATATATATATATATATACATATATATATATATATATATATATATATATATATATACATTTTACTGTTATTTATAATGTTTACAAATATATTGTAAATCGTATAGCATAAATAAACTTTAATACAACTGTTTGAAAAGATTGTTGTTCTAATAAATCTAACGTGATTCATGCAACAATGAGTTGGTATTAAAATAGATTATAATATATTAGTCTTTAGATGCTTGTACCAAAACGTATGTTCCTAAACCATGCACAAGAAGGGGAATTTAGTGTGGACTTTCCTACCAATACAACTACTGTACTATACATATCCTGCGTAAGGGTTTTACTCTACTTTTAGCTGACGGGGTAAACGTGTTTACCACAGGCTAACACAAACATCCGGCTTTATTTCAAGGAACTTTGTAAAACTGAATCTCTTTAACTAATGTTACAGTGTGGGTATCGTATTTCTTTGCAAAGGAACATTTAATTTTGACTTGATTCAACTGTGAGGGGTTAATGTTTAAGTTGCTTGATAAACAATATTGTGGGGTTCATTTCCACGGTAGATTTTTCTTAAGTGAAATAAATGTAAATATATACGAGTATATGTGTATGTTTTCTGTATGTATATAAATGTGTGTGTGTGTGTGCGTGTGTGTGTGTGTGCGTCTTTGAAAATCTTGTGAGTGACAATGCGTTGTATGGTTCATTAACAATTTGTCACTATATTATATGTATTCATTTCATTTCATTACTACACTTTTAAGGTTCATCAATGATTATAATACATCATTTGTATTCATTTCATTTTATTACTACACTTACATTTAAAACTAATCAAAATATTTTAAGAGCAATTAATTTGTGGTTCAATATGTTCTAGCTATGTCAGTGTGCTAGACTTTACCTTCCTATAACAGTAGCAAGGAGAAGTAAATCATATAAGTAAAACTAACAGCAAACCCCACATTAAACTTCCTGGATCTCGCCTAGCATAAAGGCCGTATTATAATTCTTGTATAACTTAATGTCAACCTACATGAATAGCTAGGCCGTCTATGCATGTTATGTGATATATATGTAATATATGGCACGTATTATACTATACGTCGAAAATAGTGTCATAGTTCCTGGTTCTAAAGTCGCTAGATATCCAACATATGATACAGTGTATGTTTAGTTTTACACACTGTGTACCATTTTATTTATAGAGGAAACTGTGTAATTTTACAACTGTTAAATGCGGTTAGTATTGGGTTTAAAGCAATATATATATATATATATATACATATATATATATATATATATATATATATATATATATATATATATATATATATATATATATATATATATATATATATATATATATATTGTAGGAATTTCTGTTAATTATTCAATTGTAGTGTCATTTTTGCTATAAGAAAAACACTAACAACTGTATTTCAAACTTTAGTGTTAATGTACTTTTCATTTTTTTTCCAGATATTTTATGTTATGAGTTCAACTTGTGATTAACAGTTGGTGTAATATATAAGGATGTTAAGAGTCATGAATGAAATTAAGTTAACTGATGGATACAAATCGGCTTTGTTAACCGAGTAAATGATCAAGGCAATTATGATCAATAAATGTATGTTAATCAAGATCACCTTGTGACTTCAAATTACGATATGTAAAAAGCAAATCATAAAGGATATTTGATTTCGAAAGAATTGAAAATACTACATCTTGAGAAATGTGACGAATATATAACGTGTGTGGATACTATTCAAATCTTGTTAAAATTGTTTAAGAATACAACTTAACCATGTTGAGTTGTCTTATTTTTTATCTTCTGATCGCTTTGGAGGGAACAGCTGGTAGTACATCTTCACCACATACAGAACCTGCTACAACTACTACAACTACACCAACGACAACTACACCAACGACAACAACACCTACTACAACAACTACGACAACAACGACAACAACACCAACAACCACTACCACATTACCAACAACAACAACAACAGCACCAGACAACGTCGCCGCCATCGCCTGCGGTGTTATCTTCGGTTTGATAGGCGTTGCTCTCATTATCGTCGCCATTATCTTTCTGGTACGCTGGAGACGAAAGAAACGTCCCTTGACCTCTGACCCGGAAGAAGAGGGTCACGAATACGAAGAGTTCAGCAAAAACGTGACGTTACGCCCAGCCGAAGCGTACTCATCTTTAGATTCCAACAGGACCTCTAGCGATCACCAGTACTCCAAACCCGCAATAGACAACGCGCATTCAGACAATCAAACGAAGATACCCGCCACCATCACAACCAGTAATGGACCTGTGTACAACAACATCACCAAACCAAACACTGAACACATCAGCATCGACAGTTCTAGACTCAGCGGGGTAGTCAGTGACACGTACGAACCTGTCGACTCCAGCAAAAGACTTTCTGATAACCAGCAGTATGAAGACATGACGCTGTCGGCTGCAGCATCACCAAGCGACAACAACAAGAAAATCAACATCAACAAAGACGAATTTTATAAAACTGAATACATCAACGCACCTAGTAACCCGAAGCTGTATGGATCCGAACTCCGAACGTCGGATTCTGGAGCGGTGCACTTTAATAATTCAAAACAGCTGGACGCAACAGAACCGGATTCGTACGTGGATGTGAGTGATCTGCGCATGTCACCCCCGCCACGCCCACACAAGAGAAAGGACCCTGGTTAATTAGTCAATTAATGGCAATAATGACAAGTTAACTAACAATGACAACTCTAAGGAGTTACGAATATTCGAGATTTTCAAGAATAACTTTGTTTCGTTTCTGTGTTAGTATTGGATTCTCAGATTCATAGTTTTTATTTTTATTTTATTACGATTTGCACTCTAGTTAAAAACAAAAAAAAAATATTTCATTGATATTATGCCTATTATTGATTGTACAGTATTTCTTATTTATAAATCTAGTGATGTTGAAGTGAGGGGATGAGATGCCATCTAAATATCCCTTCCGAGTCCGGCACTTAAAAAAAAATAAACTTTTGTTATTATTATAACAAGTTAACGTTGTTTTCTAATGAAATAAGGTTAACAAGGTATGTTTGTACGTAGTATTTAACCCTGTGGTATCCTACATCAAACAAATACCAAATACAAATTGAGACCAATTCGTTTTAGTCATTACCATTTTGTACAGTATTTTAAGCTTTATTATTTTGCTACACGAATATTTTAATATCTCCTAATTGAGCTGTGATATTTGTTGTTAAAAAAGTAGTATAGACATAGTATTTCATAAGAAATATCTTTTTAAAATTTTATTTCATTTTTTGAGTTGCCGGACATGATTCTTCTCTTCATGTTACTAAATATAACTGTTGAATGTAGTTTCTTTGGAAACACCGTTTAGATGAGAAAGTCTAGAGAGACGCTTGTCGCCTGGTGTTTTATTACCAGAAGGTGTCTGTATGACGTCAGCGTGCCCTGGAATGTTTTAATTAAGAAACACGCTAATACCAGGAAGTAAATTAAATGGGTTGTCAGTCTGACCCGGTGACACACTTGTGCAGTCATGTGACACGTTGTGTACACACCTGCAACATACAGTAGCACGACCCATTGTAGGGTCAGGTCGTACTTTGTATACACACACGAGTATGCAGTGTGTACACACGGTTTAGTAGGATGTACACAAGGTTTAGTAGGCTACACAAAGGTTGTACATACTTTTGTAATGAAATGACAAACGGTTCACGCATGTGCAGTTGTAACTAAAATAATGTGCAAAATTATTGTTTATACATTTTTTTTATTCAGACAGTTGTGTTAGTGATAAATTAATTTTAAACACATATGTGCGTTCAAAAACGCATTTAGTACACCCTTCTGGTATAAGAACAAACGCATTGTATACACACTTACTACTTTGTATAAGCAGTGTACAACACAATGTGATAAGGATAATATAACATGTGTACAGGTAATGTTGTTGTTGAAACACATGTACATCCTTAATATTCAGGAGTATTATCGTGTACATACATATGATAAGGAGAACATAACTAGTGTACAAGTAATAATGCTATTGAAACACATGTACACCCTTAATATTCAGGAGTATTATCGTGTACATGTATATGATAAGGAGAATATAACTTGTGTACAAGTAATGTTTTTTATTGAAACACATGTACACCCTTAATATTCAGGAGTATTATCGTGTACATATATATGATAATATAATCAATGCGTAAGTCACTTGTGGAACAAGGACCAACACAATATGTACACACTAACGGTGTAACACAACGTGTGTACACGCCTCAGTGACGCGGAGGAACTCATAAGTACACATGTTACGTTATTAGAAAATAAATTGCTTGTTTGTCATTGATCCTAACCTAATGAAAGTATTATGATTTTTTCATGATTTATTTTATGATGTATTTTATTCTCATTTTTGTGTTGTTTTATTAAGACAAAACTGAAAAAAAATATTTAAACTGAAGTTAAAAACCATATAAAAAACAACTAATGTACCTATGAGTTAAGCAATTTATTTGCTTACATATATAAGGTTATACGTTTGTTTTGGTCACTAGGGCAGATAAAGTAGAGTTTGCCTATATCTATGTAATCACATAACTCGTGATTTTATGTATAGTCACCTATGTTATATGTGGTTTTAATTTTCAATTTCTCTAATAGCATTACTTACCCAGCATAGTTGGGTGAACTCGGAAATTTCTACGGGAAGGAAAACTTGAATCGTTCGTGTTAGCAGTCATTTGTTCTATCATCTTCCTATTGTTAAACTTCGCAATGGTTTTAAAAAACTGTTAATTTTTTTAAATTGTAGAAAACATAATGTTAATTTTTTAAATTGTAGAAAACATAATGTGTTATAACATTATGTTTCGTGTTTTTAGCTCACATACTTACATATTGTGTTGAAGGCATGTTTTACACATTTGTTTTTAGCCATTCAAATATTATACAGTTAGTTATATAGTCTACCGTTTTCACGGGATGTAACTCATTTTAAATATAATATGGATTTTATAAATTTGTATTCGCCCCTAAAAGTAACGTACCAATTATACGTATTGCAAATAGTACCAAAATATTTATTTTAATATTTACAAAAAAACATATGCTAAAATTGTTTCAGATTACTTTGATTTTACTTTATAATTATAAATTTTTATACCATATTGAACTGTAAAGGTAAAAAGAAATATATCTGATTTGCACTTTAGCAATAGTAATCAATATGAATGCAATGTGCTATGTGTTCGGTAAAATATTCATTACAATAACTGAAAGAACGCATATCATGAATACATATATATTTTAATTATTTTAATTCTCTGCAATCCCAAATTTATTTCAGCTCTACTTAAAAACCAAAATTCCTCCCCCCCCCCCCGTCCCCTCAACCCACCACGCCGAGGAAAAAAAAATCCATTGAATCATCATTTAATTACATTTGCATTTTCAGTTTCAGGTTGGTTTTTTAAAATTTATTTTCTTATATATTTAGACGTTTTGTATTAGATCTATGTTTAAGTAAACCCTCTTAAATGAATGAAAGTAGGCTACAAGTAAGAAAGAAATATTACTATTGTAAAACTGTATCAATCCAGGATTTGTCTTAGAATAAATTAATTAAGTTACAAAAAAACAAAAACAAAAACAAATTATGAATACATCTTTGCGTCCTGCTTTAATGTTATATGAAACTGTTTTTTAATTAACATGATAGTTGTGTAGCGAGTTTCCACTCGGGTTTTTTGTAAAGGATTACATTTAACCAGTGTTGATTATACCACAGATACTTTTTCATGCATAACCATTTCTAGAATCTCATGTTATGATACTTTTAATTGTTGGTGTGTGACATTTTTAGAGCCTTGTTTGTTTGTTTATATGACGATCTCATCATCTTATATTTGTAATATTTTAAGGTGTGATTCATGTTTTAAATATTGGCATAATGTCTAGAAAATAAAATATCTCACCATTACTTTACGCTTGTGTTATTATAGTGAACGTTATTAAAGACAAATGCAGACAAATAGCAGACATTATACAGAGAAATAAAATACATGTATGTGGTTTCAAGAAAAAGACTCAATCATTACAATATGACAATGTATACGTTATTGTTACCTTTGTGTGTTTTGTTATATTGCTCTTGAGTCGAATTTTGAAATTGTAGAAACGGTAATAAATATGCTTTTTTTTCCCTTTTTACACATATACAGATACACGCACTCCTTAACCATACGTAATCAAATATATGAATATAAAGTAAAGCAGTATTATATATATATATATATATATATATATATATATATATATATATATATATATATATATATATATATGTATATATATGTATATACATATATACATATATATATATATATATATATATATATATATATATATATATATATATATATATATATATATATATATATATATGTTATTGCAAATATAAAATACTTTGGATTACAGTATATTGCATATTATATGTGTGAGTCTATATTTATATATTGGGTGCAAATAAGTGATACACTGTTTGGAGATGGTTACATCTTGTCTTGTATTCATCCTTTTTGTAATAATCAAGATTTCAATCTTGATTTATATAATTTTCTTTTTAATTTAACCCTACTATGGTACCTTTACAAAAAATAATCTTTTTGGTACCATGGGTCCAGTTTGACCTCATGGTGAAAAATAGACTATTTGACCAGAATAACTGCACTCTATTATTATTTATTGTTTACCTTGACATAATAAGATATGACAATATGCCGGTACGTCCAAATAAATACTGGACAGTTCCATAAGCAGATTTATGTTATTTTAACCCGCTGTATGCAAAATGTTATTGCTGGCATAGATTGAGCACTAGCCTGGTATGTTCTTCACACACCAAATGATTGCACTCATTTCAGACTAGTTTTCTATTCTTGTCACAAGATCTGGGACACATGTAACACTCTGTAGGAAAGTCCTGGATGAGAATGTGTGCTGCTTGCTGTTTGTATCGGTATATTAAGGGGAAAATATCTTTATCACATTGACGGTACTATGGGGTCTATATGACCCGAAGCGAAAAAAAAAACAAAAATAATAAATAACCGGTAATACTTTGAAAGTATCAAACATGTGTAACGTACTCATGAAGGCCTTATGAAAAAATGCATGGCAGGTGAGGTCACTAATCCTGGTAGTTTTCAAAATAAATTGCTCTAAAAAATGGCTGGTGTTATATTTACCCCATGGTACTAGAGCATGCTTAAATAATAAACTTTTAAAAAAAAATGCATTCATCGTTCCGTTTATGGTCTAATAAAGTAAAACCCACACAAATATAAAAACATTCTCAATACTGTAAGAAAGGCATATTTTCTTCTATGTTGTATATAAAAAAAAAACGTTTAGACCTAGCGATCGATAGTGGAAATGAAGTAGAGTTTCTTGACCTCGGCATATGAGGGGATGGTGTGTTCAACACTTTGCCCAACCGCCTTTATTTTCCCTAACATGAGTTAGGTACCTATCAGAGCTGGGCGTTCCATTGAATCGGTTAGCAACATAGCTCGCTACTGCCTACTCCATGCTGTCCTATTCTGTTGTATACACTGAGCATAATTTTCTGAAAATTTCTTAAAAAAATATTATTGAGAAGTAAAATTAGTGTTTTTGTTTTTTATATCAGTTTGCAGTATAAATCAATATGTAAGAAATATTATTTTTTTTTAAATCCGTAAACGAATGTATGTTTACATACTCAATGCTTTTTAAATGAAATACTGAATAGTATTAGGGTCTAATGCTATACATAAGTAATGGTAACAGCTTTTCCGACTATTTCCCATTACACTTTTAAACGTAGTCATATAGAGAGCATTACATTGCATTACATGATATATATATATATACACACACACACACACATATATATATATATATATATATATATATATATATATATATATATATATATATATATATATATATATATATAACACTCACATAAACGCACACAGACACGTGATCAGTCTTATATTTATTGGTAGTATTTTTTAAGTGTTAGTCTAGTAAGAGAGATGTTGAAATTATCGTCATCACAATTTTGAATTAGCTGGTTTCGCCATAAATACAGCTACTTAGGTTATCTACCTTTGAAAGCAGGTGTAGCTTTAGAGAAGGTATTGAAAAAAGATTTTTTTTAAGAAAGAAAAATAAATGACACTGTTAATATAATGATATATGTTATAACTGTATTTAACCTTTAACCTACATCTTATCTACACAATTTGAATGAGACTTATTTAATCAGAATTACCAGTATCTTTCGATTAGTGATATTAATGCACGGTTTTATTCGATATGCATCTTTATAAACACTAGCACTTGGCTTATAAACAATATCAGTCCACGGTTTGCAATTGAACATGTAGTAAAACTATCATTGACTTAACTTTTTCTGTATAGGGGAGATAAGCAATAAAATATGACCCAAATGTTTCATCGCAGCTAGAAGCTAGACGACAAGTATATATTTTGTAAAGCACGTCTCTATTTTAGAGATCTAGATCTAGCTGAAGGGGAGAAAAAGTTATATTCTAATGGTAAACTTGATGTAGTGATGTATAGCTTGAGTATGTGCTTTTTATTTATGATTTCAATAGCATTGTTCTGGGAATTCATCTTGTTATGTCCCTTGACATAAAATGGTTGTTTTTGCAAATATTTTGTACGAGCCGACCCGCGGTGTATCATACGCCGCTATTTAGTTGTTGTTTTTTCTACTTTTCAGTAATTTATAATTTGTGAATTCGACAGTACCAATGCTGCCACTGAAAATATTTGCTTTACAACACTAAACCCCCCTTCACCCCCCCCCCCCCTCCCGTGAAAGCAGCCTCCTCTTAGTTACCTCCTCTAAGATTAAAATCGTTTCAAACTAAATTATCTGCCCCTAATAGCCGTCACCAAACCCGGCTCTACAATTGTAAAATGTAAACATTTATTTAGCGTGAACCACAGCTCACCAGACCATGTGAGGGGGGTGGGGGGGGGGGGTGGGGGTGGTAGTGACAGAGAGGAAGAGAGGGGATTGCAAGGCGCGTTTGCAGCTTGTTTTCTAACGGCTCCCAGAAGAGAATTATATATATGGATATTCTGTCGAATTTATGAACTGATTTGATTTCATGTTTTAGCTGCAATATTTTTTTTTTTTTTTTTTAAATTTACAAGTTTAATGTGTATTATTTCTCTATAAGGCAAATCCAATTAAAACACCATCTTGTGGGGAAAATGGTTGTTTGACAATGAAAGCATAGCTCCTAGGTATCCAAACAAGAGCTTCTTTTCAAGGTTTTTACGAATCACTTCCAAAATTTGACGATCAAACTTAGCCTGGTCTTCTTTGCGCTCATCATTGACAGCATAGGCCTCTTTCTTTGTATTGAAAATATCACCCTCTGTATGCTTGGGCTTCTTACAATTCAGCCTTCTAAAATATTCATCATTTACTCTCTCTGGTACTTTAACACTCTTGATGTCCAACTTTGTCCTTGTGGTAATCGCATAAATTTGATTGATTCTTCTCAAGGGACAACCATTTAGATTTAACACTCTTGATGTCCAACTTTGTCTTTATGGCAATCACATAAATTTGATTGATTCTTCTCAAGGGACAACCATTTAGATTTAACACTCTTGATGTCCAACTTTGTCTTTATGGCAATCACATAAATTTGATTGATTCTTCTCAAGGGACAACCATTTAGATTTAACACTCTTGATGTCCAACTTTGTCCTTGTGGTAATCACATAAATTTGATTGATTCTTCTCAAGGGACAACCATTTAGATTTAACACTCTTGATGTCCAACTTTGTCTTTATGGCAATCACATAAATTTGATTGATTCTTCTCAAAGGACAACCATTTAGATGATAAGGTCCTGTCACAAGCAGCAAGCCAGACTTGAGTTGTTTGAGGAAAACTACCCTCTTTCCCTTGTGTCTTCCAGCAAGAGGAATTAGAACAGTCCCTGGGGTAATCGAGGGCCTCAGACTTATTTTATGATGCCTGAATGGCTTCTTGTGGCTTCTTAGCTTTCGTCGCTTCTCTTCAGTTGGATAGAATCTTTGGCAATCTGCTAACTCGCACTTTTCTCTCCCCTCCATTCTTCTCTTCAGTTGGATAGAATCTTTGGCAATCTGCTAACTCGCACTTTTCTCTCCCCTCCATTCTTCTCTTCAGTTGGATAGAATCTTTGGCAATCTGCTAACTCGCACTTTTCTCTCCCCTCCATTCTTCTCTTCACTTAGATAGAATCTTGGCAATCTGCTAACTCGCACTTTTCTCTCCCCTCCATTCTTCTCTTCAATTGGATAGAATCTTGACAATATGCTAACTCGCACTTTTCTCTCCCCTCCATTCTTCTCTTCAGTTGGATAGAATCTTGGCATTATGCTAACTCGCACTTTTCTCTCCCCTCCATTCTTCTCACCACCAATCTTCTTCGTGACAAAAGATGGCTTCTTCTGAGATGCAGCTGGCATCTTGACGGAAACAGTATAAAAATCTCTTAAAGAAAGAGGATGGGACGGAGTGGTCTAGCGGTAGAGAGCTGGACTGCTAACCCGTAAGTCTCGAGTTCGAATCCGGGTTCAAGCCAGTAGACCGTCCCTGAGTCCACCCAACTCTGATGGGTACCTAACTCACGTTAGGGAAAGTAAAGGCGGCTGGGCATAGTGCTGACCACACTATCTCTTCATATGCCGAGGTCACAGAAACAAGTGAACTCTACTTCACTTGCCCCATAGACCGTCAGGTTTGAAAGGGAAACTTTTACTTTTTAGAAAGAGGGAATATCGAATTCGTTTATTTATTTTCATTTATTTATACTCAATACTTAGGCTGTTTTAATATTGTACAGTAATTACAGCTTAAATAACAATATCGATGAACTAATATTTCAGTACAGTTTATATTACTCTCAGATTTTTACAATGAATTCTCATTATTTACACAACCAAAAATAAATTTCTTAAAGATTGCCAGATAATTTGTATTTCAAGTAATATAATGCATTAAAAATAATATGCATTTTAAAATGGGTGGTCTCCCTGTTTTACTGTGATGAACGCAAATAATTAAAGGTTCCCACTCTGTAATTACAGACATGGTAACTTGTTAAAAAATTATTTAAAAATTATTTAATACATGAACATGCGTCGTTACAATGGATTTACGTCTATGAAAATGTACAATTATTGAAACAGGTTATTACATGTATTAAAATAGAAACGTAGAAATAATTGCATGAAAAAAAAATAAACGTACTAGTTATTAAATATGTGCGTCATATGTTTACACATCAATAATCTCGCTGAAATAAATGAGTGTTTGCGTGTTGGTATACGAACATGCGTGCGTGTCTGTCTGTGTGCGTGTGTGTGAAAATGTGTGGTCTAATCCACTCTATTTTATTGTATGTGTTTATTTGCATATATGTTTTTGACAACATAGTACAATAATATTATATAAATCAAAATGTATATAATAAGCATATTACTTTACACCCCTAGAAATTCAAGTATTAATATCGATTAGGGCTATTTGCTCAGAAAAGAGCCTGTATTTTGTGTTGTGAAAATAAATGGAGAGTAAGCGCCTAATGACTGGGAAAAATTCGCTCAACTTTTACGAATATAATCTTTTTTAAAGGTCGCCAAACGTGTAGCATATATTTACTTTCACCTGAAAGGCATCCAGCGCCTTATATATAGTTGATAGTTTATTACAATTAAATATCTTGTAACGAGTGCATTACCCTGAGACGCGACACTTGTGTATGGGTAGTGTAGAAATACATATATCCAAAACATATAGAATACATCTGTGGGAACAATATCAGTGGGTTACAAAAACATACTAAACATCAACAGTGTATGTTTTTATTACATAACTATGTGATTGTTTTAGAATAAATATGTTCTCGTAGAAGTAATGATTCTGATTCGATGTTTTCTAGTTTCTCCGAATTCAAAACGCTATTGATTCGGAGAGGAATGCATTAAAATACACATTTTGGAAATATCAAATTAGCTTACATATGTTATTATAGGTTATTTTTTTTAAAAAACATAAGAAATAAAAAGTTAAAATTCTTTTACTTATTTAACACGGCTGAAAAATATAAAGTTTGTTATGCTAGTCAGTGATAATTAAACATTAATACACTTTTTTTTGGTTTCAATACAGAAAAAAAATGTCTTGTTTAAAGTTGTGTTTCAGATATGAAAATGATTAGGCGTTAGTTTGTGTTAAAACCAAGTCATTTGATGTTTGATGCGCTGAATATGAGCCACATTGTTCAATGTTAACTTTTTTTTCTGATGTTGAATACTACGTTCGTTATCAGCAAAGGTCATCTCCTGATAAGTATAAAATCACAAAATGTGTACATCTTTCACAGATCATGTGGTTATGATAGTATATTTTAACCATCAGAAGTTATGATATTTGAAGATGAGTAGTGCGGACCTTCCGCTTCCAGTTCGAAGTATGGATGTCCTGGTGTGTTGTTGTCCTCGACAAGGCAGTTGTCGCCGTTGTTGGCAGCAGTAGCGCCAGACACTGCCTGATTGTCAGAGATGATCTCAATATACTGACCACTGACCGCGTCAGGGTCAGTGTAAGATGGGCCGGTTAGACAGGTAGAGGCGGTAGAGTAGTAGGGTAGGGTCTCGGCTTTAGGGCAGGTGGGGAGAGGAAGCTGTGGCAGCAGGTTTGGGTCCGGTCTGCGAGTGACGGGGTTGTAGTGGTGGTTGTACTGTGTTGATGTGTCCAAGTGGGTGTAGGTGTCCGGGACGGGTGACATGTGATCGTCGATGAAGTCGTAGGTGGGTTCTTCGAATTGAATCTCAGGTAAAGTGTTTTCAGGTTTTTTATTGTCTTTGCGTTTATTACGGGTTGCTTGAATTGGTTGAAGAGGGTTGACAAGTAGTTTTTCTTTAGAGACTGATGATTTAAAAAGCTTCCTGTTTTGTGGCTTGTTGGCTCGCATTCTGACATCCATACCCTCTGACACGGAAGTCGATTGCGATTCTGTTTCCGGTCGTTCCGCAGGTCTGCGACGTTTAACACACATCCTCCACACCAACACACCAGCAACAACGGCAACAAAAACAACAGCTCCTAAAATAATAACGAATATAATTTCCGGTTTCTGTATCAACGGAATTTCCTTTTTCAAACTCGTGCATTTTTTGTGTTCATCATCGTCTTCTTTATCGTCGTCATCGTAATTCCCGCAAATATCTCTACACGAGAATGCATCAATGTTGGGGTTTATTTTGATAACCTGGATGTTATTTTTCCCAAATACGATATCCAGCAGCTGGCTGCACGTCTGCGTCGTGCTGCTTGACGTCTGCTCCTCTTCATCACATGGGGCATCAGTAGGCGCCAGGCTGCGACAGACGATGTTGTCGTATGGTGTCTGGCTGCAGCTAAAGCCGTCGTCGTGTTGGACGTTCCCGTCATCGGTCCTGGAGATGACGGACGTCACGTGGTTGTTGTCTAGGTTTATTTGGCAGTGGTTGTACTGGATGCACGTCATACAAGTTATCAACCTGTTGAATGAGTACACAATCATGTATTTTACAATATAAACAACATAATGTATGCAGCACAGAGTACACCAATATGTACACATGTGTCTTAATGAAATATCTAGTCGCGTTATATTTCCAATGGTTAATCCCTATCACTTTTTAATCCAGCTTTTTAGTTTAATCAGTTTCAAACAGTCAGTAACGCTATGTTTAAAGAACTATAAGCCAACACTTATCCAAAACATGTACGATATATATATATACATATATATATATATATATATATATATATATATATATATATATATATATATATATATATATATATATATATATATATATATATACATTGAACTAATTTTTTTAAAAATTGAAATAATCTATATATATAATTCTCTTTTGGGATCAGTTAGAAAAAAATAAAATACTTAAAAAAAACTTTTTAAAAAACCACGTTTTTCTTGTGGACTAAAAAGTAGAAAATAACTATTTACATACATTTGATGACAAAAAACGTGAGTACGTTCACCATCAAATTTCCCGACCCATCTGCCCGACCCACGTTTTTTGTCATCAAATGTATGTAAATAGTTATTTTCTACTTTTTAGTCCACAAGAAAAACGTGGTTTTTTAAAAAGTTTTTTTTAAGTATTTTATTTTCTCCTTTTTAGTCCGTTGCTACACATGAAAAACGTGGTTTTTAAAAAAGTTTTTTATATAGTTTATTTTCTACTTTATCTAATGACTTGATTAAGTATGACTTGACTAAGTGTTTATAAATACACGGACTAAAAATCTTGAGCGACCAGGATTCGAACCTGGGTTGTCGCGGCCACAACGCAAAGTACTAACCACTATACGATCACGGCCAGCGCGCTCACATCGATTGGGGCCGAAGTAACTGTGTCAATAGGCCTCCAGTCTTGTCGGTATCTTTAGAAATCATGTCCTCAATTTTATGGTCCTTAGGGCGTAATTAAATTAAGCTAATTACGGTCTCTAATTGCTAGCTTTTATGATTGCATCTGAAATTGTTAGGCGAGAGTAGCCTGCATGCCAAATTTCAGATCTATAGAGCAATCAGAAGTGGGCTAATTTTCGATGTCAATTTTAACAACAAACACACGCGAAGCTGAGTTAATAAAAACGTGTTAACAAGCTGCAAGCGCGCCTTTGCAGTCCCCTCTCTTCCTCTCTATCGTTATCACTACCACCCCCACCCCACCCCCCACATGATATGGTGAGCGGTGTTCACTCTGTTTACATTTTACAATCATATCATAGAGACGGGTTTGGTGACGGCTATTAGAGCAGATAATTTAGTTTGAAACGATTTTAAACTTAGAGGAGGTAACTAAGAGGAGGCTGCTTTCACGTGGGGGGGGGGGGGGGTTAGTGTTTTTAAGCAAATATTTTCAATGGCAGCATTGGTACTGTCGAATTCACAAATTATAAATTACTGAAAAGTAGAAAAAAAAACAACTAAATAGCGGCGTATGATACGCAGCGGGTCGGCTCGTTACATTATAATTATACTCAGTGGTCCAACTCAACATAGACAGCCTCAACTACAGCGGTCTATACCATCTACCCGCCCCACTTAACCATTGGCGCGTAACGTCCTTTATAGCAGACTTCTTGAAACGTATCAAAGTAGTGATAGGGCAAATGATATTATATAAGCAGTCGTGTATGATTTACTTGCTCTAACACAACTTTAGTAAAGAACTATATAGTGTCGAATTCATATATTATGAATAGTTGATAAGTAGAAAATAAAACAACTAGATAGCGGCGTATGCTACGTCGCGGGTCAGCTAGTTATGTTTATTAACTAAATACTCTAATATAGGAGCACACATCTGCCATTGTCATGTGGTACCAGGTATTTGAAATTATTGCTATGAAATTCATTTGTTCGAACCAAACAGAAAAAGCCGTTGATTCTGTACAATTTTTATATCGTCACGTATCTTCAGTTACTGTGTTGCGAGTTAGCACTACGTGGTTGTTTGAAGCAAGCGTTGTAACTGAAATAATAATGCAAGTCATACAGCGTTATTTAACACGTTTTATGTAGGTGGAGGTATTCACGACAGGCGAAGCGAATCTGCACAGTGTGGAAAGGTGAATTCGGATTTTTTTTTTCTAACCATGCGTGTAAGTCTTTAGCCTTATCTTCTGATATACGTTTCTCTACTGTTAAGATAACACTATAATGTATGATTGTGCTGCTTGAAATATAGAATACATAGGCGGTATATATCCACATGGAGTTTAAAAGAATGAAACTCGTATGTGTAAAAATTCAAAACTTAACTCATTAGGGAGCAAGATTATTATATCTACTAAACGTATAACTTGATGATTAGTGAAAATACAAATCTTCACTGATGTTTTGCTTTGGTTTAGGGGACAATGCTTTAATTGGAACGTGTATAATTCTTTGTATAACATGGTAGAGAGCAGTGGCGTCGCTAGGTCGGATGTCGCCCGCAGGGGTAATTGAGGCTTCACACACAACCTTAAAAAAATATAAATTTTCAGTTAAGTGTCATCCTCTACTTTTTATTTTCTTATTTGAGTAGTGTAAAGTATTGTTTTGACAGACCATTTAATGATTCTTTTCGATTTGGTGTCACCCCCTAAATGAAGTTATCAGGTGATGACTGCACCCCAGCCCCCGCCTTTTGATGCAACTGTTATAGAGCTGGTCTTGTTTTGATACAGTTCTCTGGCTCGACAATAAAAAATTTCGTAAATGTATCTTTTTTTTTGTTGTTGTTTCTTAAACCACTAAAAACATAACAACAAAACTACTTACTGTAAAAAACTTGTATTATCAAATACCACCTTCATTTCTCCGTTTGGTAATGATATATTTAGAACTATCATCGTCACTTCCGGTTTGATGGTGGTGGTGGTGGTGGTGGTGGTACTGGCAGTGGTACTAGTCGACGTGGTTGTGGTTATCTCAGCCATGGTAGACTGCTCAAATTCTTCGGCTGATGTTCTTTTATGTGGTGATGATGGCGAGGGTGAGTTTGTTTTATTGCTGTCTGATAACATAATGGCGTCCAAGAGGATGAGACAACCTAGTACACACCCGATCTCTCTCATTGTTGCCATGGTTACGTGGGCTGGTGCTTGAAGGTCTTACTTTAAGTCCTGTGAATGGTAAAAAGGTTAACATTTAGCTATGATACTAGTACATTACACAACACGTTTATAAAAAAACGTATTTGAAAACAAAACAGTATTGTAAATCCAGATGGGCTGTTTAAAGTCAGCCTATTATGATCTGCCTTGCCTTAAGTTAATCAATTTAACAGTAATACAGAGTTATCGCGCATAGCTTAAAATTCTCTTGTAACGACGTGACGTTTCTAGCTGTCAAGTACCATTTACTGACAAGACAAAAATAATTGGACACATAGAATGATATAATAGTGTAAGAACATTAACAGTTTATAGATTCTTGTCTAACTGGTTGTTGCTGCTGATATATGTTGTAGCAAATAAGGTCAAAATTTGTCTCAGGTAAAGTGTCTCTGGTCAAAAGATTGTCTCATGTTAAAAGGCTGTCTCAGGTCAAAAGAATGGCTCAGGTCAAAAGGCTGTATCAGGTCAAAATACTGTCTGACGTCACAGGGCTGTCTCATGTCAAAAGGCTGTCTCATGTCAAAAGGCTGTCTCAGGTCAAACGGCTGTCTCAGGTCAATTGGCTGTCTCAGATCAAAAGGCTGTCTCATGTCAAAAGGCTGTCTCAGGTCAAACGGCTGTCTCAGGTCAAAAGATTGTCGCAAGTCAATCGGCTGTCTCAGGTCAAAAGGCTGTCTCAGGTCAAACGGCTGTCTCAGGTCAAAAGGCTGTCTCAGGTCAACAGTCTGTCTCAGGTCAAACGGCTGTCTCAGGTCAAAAGACTGTCTCAGGTCAAAAGGCTGTCTCAAGTCAAAAGGCTGTCTCAGGTCAAAAGGCTGTCTCAGGTCAAAATACTTTCTCAGATCAACAGACTGTATCAGGTCAACAGGCTGTCTCAGGTCAAAAGACTGTCTCAGGTCAAAAGGCTGTCTCAAGTCAAAAGGCTGTCTCAGGTCAAAAGGCTGTCTCAGGTCAAAATACTTTCTCAGATCAACAGACTGTATCAGGTCAACAGGCTATCTCAGGTCAAAAGACTGTATGAGGTCAAAAGGCTGTCTCAGGTCAAAAGGCTGTCTGACGTAACAGGGCTGTCTCAGGTCATATGACTAAGGTCACACGACTGTCTCAGGTCATACTACTTGCTGAGGTCACACGCCTGACTCATAAGACACGACATTTTCAGATCACGTGTTACTTTAGATCCTTATATTCTCTCACGCCAATGCCTGTACTTGGTTTACTAAGCTCATGTATCAAACTAACTTAAAGGTCCTCTATTAAAACTAATCCAAATTTTAAATGCATAACACCTCTACGTTTTATATCCCAATACAAAGACACCATTGTAGCACCTAGAAACAAGCCCCAGTAGTTGTCATTTTTAATTCACTCAGGGCCATAAATCACCGGTCACATGATCAGTATGAAAGCCTGCACATTTTCCGACGATCCTAAAAAAATGTCATTGATAGTTCGAACTTTGGGCGTTATACAGGCAAAGTTGACATAATATGGGCACAGTGACGCATTGTGTATTGCGAAATGAAACGTGATTCAGCCTGTATTGACTTATGATATGAAAACGATCTATAAATTTCTAAATGAATGGTTTGCTTGAAAACTGTGCATTTATATTTCATGATATTGTATGTTAGTTCTTTAATGAAACCATTTCTAATGTACGACTCTATGTATGCTTCTGGAACTGAATGTCTATGTGCATAGAATAACAGTGTCTCTTATTTAAATAATTGTACACTTACAATTATTCGTAAAACGCCTATTATAATAGACCACCTCCAGTTTGAGTTGTGTTGCTTAAAACATATAATGTAGGCTACAAATGTAACAATAAAGTTCAACTATAACCAGAGGCGTAGCTAAGGGAGTGGTGTTGGGTGCGCATTTATTATACCCTACCTAACCTCTAAATTTACTGCGCTAAATGTCACTTCCCTCCCAATCGTTCCTATTCTACAGAATTGTGTATACTATTTATTTACATTCTTTAATCTCAATATAACTAAAATAGACTTTTGTTTGAAGGGTAATGAAAACATGTAAACAAAAGGGACGCTACTCTAAATCTATGCGAATACTTATATGCAGTGGCGTAGGCAGGGGGGGGGGCTATGGGGGGTCATAACCCCCCCCCCCCATAGACCCCTCGGTATATATATATATATATATATATATGGTGGGGTTAGGAAAGTTAAGGGGTCCATTCTCTAATAGGCAATCTATGTCTCTTTCGTACTTTCGTGTTGGTTTATTGTCGAACCTGTCCTCACCTCACATCACAACAGTTGGGTGACGCTTACCGTGTAATGTTAAAATAAATAGCATGTAATTGAGTTAATTCGAAGTGAGTGTTCACACTAGCCCAACGCACTAATTAAGGTTGTCGCAAAATATAACATATATGTAACATAATATGTCAATGAATTTTCATTTAAAAAAATATGTCTAGTGCAGTTTACGAAACTAACGAACTTCATCGATACTTTTTAGGTGGGTAGGTGGGTAGGCGGGTAGGTGGGTAAGTGGGTAGGTGGGTAAGTGGGTAAGTAAGTAAGTGGGTAGGTGGGTAAGTGGGTAGGTGGGTAAATGGGTAGGTGGGAAGGTGCGTAGGTAAGTGCGTCATGATAATATTAAATACATAATTGAGAGATACTTCATGTAATGTCGATATCAATGATATTTTGATGTTTATTTATACGAGAATAGTAGTTGAATAATTATTGACCAAGAAAATAATAGGCATTGTGTAAAGTGATTATCGCCTGTATCGAGGTGATGGGAATGCAGAAGGTAGTGGTACGCTTTAAATGGTAGTAGATCACGTGATCAAACACGACACTCTCACAGCAGCCCTAACAGTCATGTATAAATGTGTCATCTAGTCCATATGGTCTTTGTGCTAAATTTCTCTTTTGCACATTTTTCTTTGTGTTTTTTCTGGTTGCGCATTTTTCTGTTCTGTTTGCGCTTTTTTCCGTTTGCGCTTTTTTCTGTGTGCGCTTTTTTCTGTTTGCGCTTTTTTCCGTTTGCGCTTTTTTCTGTTTGCGCTTTTTTTCTGTGTGCGCTTTTTTCTGTTTGCGTTTTTTTCCGTTTGCGCTTTTTTCTGTTTGCGCTTTTTTCCGTTTGCGCTTTTTTCCGTTTGCGCTTTTTTCCGTGTGCGCTTTTTTCTGTTTGCGCTTTTTTCCGTTTGCGCTTTTTTCTCTTTGCGCTTTTTTCCGTTTGCGCTTTTTTCTGTTTGCGCTTTTTTCTGTGTGCGCTTTTTTCTCTTTGCGCTTTTTTCTGTTTGCGCTTTTTTCTCTTTGCGCTTTTTTCCGTGTGCGCTTTTTTCTCTTTGCGCTTTTTTCCGTTTGCGCTTTTTTCTGTTTGCGCTTTTTTCTGTGTGCGCTTTTTTCTCTTTGCGCTTTTTTCTGTGTGCGCTTTTTTCTCTTTGCGCTTTTTTCCGTGTGCGCTTATTTCCGTTGCGCTTTTTGATTTGCGCTTTTTTCCGTTGCGCTTTTTTCCGTTGCGGTTCTTTCCGGCCACCCTTTGTAAGCTATAATTGGTTTTTGTTTCTATTAGGTTTCAACACTGTTATCATTTTTTTTTAAATCTGTGCATTTTAGTTTTGTTTGGTCGATTGGAGAAACTTGATTCTAGAATTAAGATTCCAATATCAATAACTGAGTTCTTCATTCGACTATTTTAGGCCTTAAATATTTTAAGATAAATATGAATCTTTTTTTTTCTTAATGTGCTAAAATTAGGATATAATGTAATTAAACTTAACATTGGAATAGTTTAAATAAGGATACAATTTATGATTACGGAGGGTTCTCTAAATAGTACAAAATGTTATCACAAATTTGAGAGTTCCTACTCAAGATGATAACCTTTAAATAATCACTCATGTGGCATGGGTACGGTACCAAAGCAGTCATTGTCAATTTCTTGTGTTTTAATATTTCCACCCAGAAAGTGAACAGAAGGAAAATATCAAAGCACTTAAATGTCTTTAAATGATTGCTAATTGTAGACGTTGGGTTTAATAATTTTGTATTCATATGAGGTTCGCGCTATACAGATACCACCTGCTAACAGTGTTTCTTCCAGAATTTTTTTCTCCAGGGGAGGCACTTGAAATTTTCGGGGGGGGGGGCGGTAGACTTTCTTCGGGGGGGGGGAGGCGGACACTGTTAAAAGTATACTTTTCTATATAAATTATATACATTTCATTTCGTTCGTGGGGGGGGCGGTAGAATTTTTTCGGGGGGGGGGGGGGGGGGGAGGAGGCTTTGTCCCCCCCTCCCCCCCCCCCCCCCCCCCCCCGCAGAGATGCTTAGAAGAAACTCTGCCTGCTAATTAAAAAGACTCTGATGCAGATTTATTGAATCTCAGGTTTATATGTGCTACAGCCACCCGCGTGTAGCGCGTTGCGTTGAACGAATATTCATATCCACACCAATGCGACGCATACATGAATATTAATATCCACACCAATACGACGCATACACAGGGGACCTGGTACCGCCGCCCAAGCAGCTAGTTAAGTATATATTTTTATAGTTGTGGATGATGAAAAAAAAACGAGAGAGATAGAAAGGCTATTTTAAGTTACTCTCAACAAGATTCAGTACCCGCAGTTCAAATAAATAAATAGCAAACAACCTTTAGACACTCGTTAGTAAACGGATATGACACAGATGGAGGACGCCTTTCATCTGCGCTAGTTTTAGTTTACTTACTCACCCTAGCTCTGAAGCCTCTAATTATCAGAAACCCAGATTGAAACGATGACCCTAATGGCTTCTCTAATGATGTCTTTAATTTAGAGCTAATGGTGAACCTTAGTTTAATCAGTACATGTGTCCGTAATGTTTATAGAATATTGTTTGTGGTGCTCATTAGTTAATGCTCAATGTCTTGCATTGAATATAAAGTTTTTCATGCTGACATTAATTACGTAAAGCAATTAGGTATCCTTTAAGCTAAGAGCTTTTCATTATTTTTTCAAATTTATTTTTCTGACACCCGACATAGCGAAGCCACTGGTACATAGTACTATGGTTTTGACAGTAGTCTCTTCTAATTTCTTTCAACAACCACGTCATAGACGAGTTGGGATCTTCACTATGTAGCCCCGTCTTAGAAAAAGTAAACAATAACACACAAAAAGAATGCACATCTTACAAAAACGTATCTGCACGGAATGTGCACTTTGTATGTATTGTCGGTTCAGATTTTCAAAGATAACAAACGCATTTAACGTGTCTCAAGAGTCGTATCTTTAAATGTCGTTCTAAAATACGTTGATTGAAATTTAAACGTATTTAAGATGATGTAATTTAATACTGCATTTAGCCATAGGGTAGTAGGTATTTGGATAAATTATCAACATTTATATTGGTTTATTTACATCCATCATTTTGAAGAGAAATATCTATAATTTTTGCTCTTAAAGAAAATTGTCAAATATATTTTACTTTGAAAAATGCACAAAAATTACCTGTCTTGATGTACTAAAAACGATATGTAGAATAAATATACTTTACGATTATACTTTAGAGAATAAATGCACTTGGTAAAAATATGTTTCAAAAGTTTATCAGACTAACTAAATAATACGGTAATAGTAAATAAATTAAAATATACTATTTCCATTTGTTATAAACAAAGTTAACTAGCCTTGTATTGCATATATGCATGTAAGAAAAATGTATTACCTTTATGTATTTATTAATACGTGTAGAGTTTGACTACCATGGTCTGTTCTGTGTGAAGTAATTTTTCAACAGTCCAAAGGGAAACGAATTATATGTTTCATTTCATTGCTCCCCTGTAACATTAATCACACAGTAATTACATTTTCCTCTTTAAAACGTCCTCCCACTATAATTTAATCCTGAACTATTTTCTTAGCCCGCTACACACCTTCATTCAACCAATACCTCAATGTCGTAAAGCCTGCACAGGTAATGCATTGTGTTGTGGGAGAGAGAGGGGCAAGGGGGATAACTTTGTCTCATGACTATGAATCATTAACTTCCCCTGGTCCCTAAGAACGTTGACGTTATTTGGCCCAGATTTCTGCGCGTCACGCTCGGAAGGATTTGTCTAGCATGAGATTGTATCACCCCCACAGCGGGCAACTCTTTTATGTGTGTTTACATACACTGTAAGGATCACATAGCTATTCGCTAGGTCAATGTCAAGGTCTTCTTGTTTATACGTCGATAAAAATTTACTGAAGAATGTAACATCTAGATATTTTTTTGCGAATGTGCATTAAGTTGCAAATACCAGTAGTTAAATGTAAAGTAAAGCACTAATTGGAACATGACGGTCCTTGGGACAGGTGAAGTAGAGTTCATATGTTTCAGTTACTTCGGCTTTAGAAGGGATAGTGTGTTCGGCAGTATGCCAAGCCTGACGTGAGTAAGGTAGTGCCTACTCCTATGAAAAATATCATTGAAACAGGTGAACTCTATCTCTATCGAATATCTAAAATGATGACGGCATAAAAGTTTATGAGAAATAAACTATGGACTAAATTAAAGGTGTCTAGTATTTTTAAAAGTTTGAAATTGTTGCTGTTAGATTCAATGTGTTTTAACATAAGCCTAATCAAATGATGTCAATCTCAGAACTTTTGCTGTGGAAAATATAATAAGGATCAAACGGGAACACACGTCTGAGCTAACTAAACGTGTATCTATCTTGTTTTAACACCACTCTGCCACTACGTACATCATCGAAATCCACCCCTTCCCCAACATCAAACATAGCGGTAGATCTTAAAAGCTTTACTATTCTCGACAAGCGAGAGACGACACGATTAAATTCATGTACAATGTGACCCGTTTAACGTACATGTTGTCCCCAAGGCGAGATGTTCTTAATCTATTTAATGTAACGGGAATCCGCTTGTAATTAAGGGATTAAATTTAATCACAGCGTTAATCTCCACATTAAAAAAAAACTACTACATTTGAAGAAAAAGGAAAAATAAAACAATGTACTGAAAATTATCTAACTATTTTTTTAAATCGTGTTTACTTCAACACATTTAACAGGAGTTCAGATGAAAATAAACTATTCTAACCTGTGCAGTCCCATTTTATTTTTTACTCTAACACTTTTCGTAGGATAGTCTATTGTTAATCTTAGTTCTAACGCTAACCCTAAAGTAAAAACAAACCCTGGAACATCTTTCCAAATTACACCTGGATAGACTATGTACCCTAAGACCCAGTGGCGGAACTAGAAAAAATGGGCCACCCCGCAAAAAATATTTTTAGGCTCCCCACATAATATAAAAGCATATATATATATGTATATATATATATATATATATATATATATATATATATATATATATATATATATATATATATATATATATATATATATATATATATATATATATATATATATGTATATAAATACGAATATAGGATATTCATTGCTGGCCTGTTCTGGTTTTGAAAAAACAATTTCAGTTAACAGCATCTCGTGTTTAAGTGCATTAATAATGTGTTTTGTGAAAATCAGTTCTATTTTAACTCTGCTATAAGACTTCCTACCTCTAGTCGGTCAAAATAATATAAACCATGTAGGCTTTGTATAAGTAATGGTGTCTCGTGTCATGTTTATTTTCGGTTTCGTTTTTTTATTTATATTATTATTTTTAAATACATTTCATTTGTATACAGTGTCATTCTTTAGTAAGTATGCCTACTTTATAAAAAATAATAATAAAGAGAAGTAATTGCTTTTTAATTTGTTTAGTACAAATCTATTAAAAGGAGCTTATGAGCACCCCTATTTGACTATTTAAAAAAAAAGGAAATAAGTCATGGAAGTGGTTTGAACATTTGCTTATCTTTGATAAGTTTGATTGTAGGAGAAAGAGGACTCGGCTTTCACAGTGGTTTAAAAACGAAGGAAAAAGAAAAGAGCGTGGAGTGGTGTCTATAGAATAAAGATAATCGAAACGCAGCTACGGTAATCTTTTTTTACAAAACAACCATCACATAAAAAATGCAAGAAAATTATTTTTTTAACTATACAAAAATTATAATGGTCGGCTGTGGGCCCTTAAATGGCGTGCCCCCCCCCCCCCCCCGCACTGCGGTGTCTGGCGGCACTGTAGTTCCGCCCCTTCTAAGACCAAATGTCGTTAAACCAAATTTCTTTACGTAATCGAAACATATATAGACACATTTTCGTGATACCCAGTTAAACGTATGCAGTAAAATAAATGCATTGTAACTTACATATCATTGTGTTTTCATTTTGAGTAATAAAATATAAACAAAGCGATAGGCTTCGATCATTAAATAGTTGCTTCAGTCTATCCAAGAGAAATATTTTTCACTGAGACCCCGGAAAACGTATACAGCGACTAGTACTCCCAGGTATTTCGTTGTGGCGACCACTCCGTTTGGCCGTAAGGCTGACATGTCGCCTACCTTCCTGTACATTGATCAATGACAGCTGTCCACACTTTTTCAACTCTGATACTATAAATAGCTTGTCGAAATACAGTCGAGGCCAAAAGGTCAAGTATTTTAACCATACGAAAACTAGTAAAGTAAATATAAACTTAAACAAACGAAAATGACTTCTTTAGTAAGAGATAAAAACCAAATAACCATGCATATAGTTGTGCTTTGTAAAAAGTGATAAAAATTAGTAACAAATAATTGACGTAAAACGTGAATGTGTGTAAGTCCGTTTATAGATTTACGTATATGTGTTGGATGAAAAAATAAATAAATGCACATCCTACATGTTATTATAGGTTGCATATATATATATATATATATATATATATATATATATATATATATATATATATATATATATATATATATATATATATATATATATATATATATATATATATATATATATATATAATATTATATATATATATATATATATACTAGCCGTCCCGGCCAGGCCCTGCTCTGGCTTCTGTGAAAAACCCTTCTGTTAAAGACCATCACCTGTGTGTTTAGTAATCATCATAAACCCGGCATTGCCCAACCAAACCACAACCAACCAAAACCAAAACAACAAAACGCAAACATAACGCTAACACAATTACAAATACAAACGAAAACAAAAACTTACAACAAACCAACCACAACCACAAACACCAATACGAACACAAAGAAAAAAGCAAACGAAAACAAACCAAATCCAAACACAAAACCAACCACAAACACAAACCCAAAGAAAAAAACAAACGAAAAAGCAAGCGAAAACAAACCAAATACAAACGCAAAACCAACCACAAACCCAAAGAAAAAAAACACAAAAGAAAAAACAAACGAAAACAAACCAAATCCAAACGCAAAACCAACCTCAAACACAAATACAAACACAAACCCAATGAAAATAAAACACAAACGAAAACGAAAAAAGAAAGAACAAAAACGAACCAAATCAAAACGCAACCACTAACGCAAACCCAACCTAAACACAAAGAAAACACTAACGCGAATATAAACGCAAAGTGCTCACGGGGCTGAATCGCCTACTTCAACTTAATAAACGACTATAGTACCCCAACTTATTCATAGTCTTTTGCACTCACTTTAATGAACGTAGGCGCGAAACCGAACACGGGAGGCCCGGGACCCCAAAAAGCACCCTGTCTGGGCGCCAGAGGACGCACCATGACGTCACCGCCTGATTGAACTTAGTAAACGCCTATAGTGCATAACTTATTTATAGTCTTTTGAACTCACGCGAACGTAGATACCATAGCGTACACCGGAAGGCCCGGGGCGCCAAATAGCATCCTGTCGGGGTGCCGGAGGACGCCCGGATTTGATTCACTTAAAGACTATAGTAACCTTTCTTATCCATAGTCAATCGCACTGTTTAAAACAAAATTATGCAGCATAGCGCTCACATGATAGCCCAGGGTGCCAAATCAAACCGTGCAGGGGCGCCGGCGGACGCGCCTGTTTCAATTTAGTGAACAAAAATGATAATACTCCAAGCTTATCCGTAAATGGAAAGAAATAAACGTATATGATTTGTAGGACCTGGCTTATTAAATGTTATTGATTTTTAAAAAAAAGAATAATTATTGAACAGTATGTTCAGTGTATAGAATAAATAAAAGGCAGTGTTAAAAATACCTAACGACATTGCACTTAATCAATCCCCGCTAATTGTGTAATTATTTTTTTTTTCTTAACACCAAAAACAAAGTAATAAAATGTTAATTCTCTCTTCTTAAGGATTTATTTTTCATTAAAGGGAAGTAACTTTGCAGTCAATACATTTCCGACACAATTTTAGAAATTTTATAAACGTCGATACACTTTTTAAAAATTTTATGTCGTGTTCATAATTGAAAATTATTCTTCTAAGTAAATGGAATGAAAATTGTTTTTAAAGACTTTCAATGGTAATTTTTTGACTCGTAAATTTAGACTTTGAGCACGATAAAAAATCTAACACTTAAATCCGTAGAACTGTCAACGACAAACTTTTTTTTTTTTGCCACACGTTACAGAACTGAGCTTTATATATTAGATATATATATATATATATATATATATATATGTATATGTATATGTATATGTATATGTGTGTGTGTGTGTTTTTGTAATGGGGACATGTTTTATAATTCCGATAAAAGTACTAATTCTTATTTAATGTATAATATATGTATATTAATTTTAGAAAACACAACATTACTGACAGTTGCTAAGATGTACAATTGTGCCATTTGGGTAAACTATCGTCTTTCAATTGTCTAAATTTCTATGTACAAGAACACGACTTCTAGAATCTTAGTGTTTGATTATTGGAATCCAAGTAGCCTTGATGTAGACAGGTCTAGAGAGTCTAAATAATGCTGGCTTGGAGTATAATGGTAAGTAACTATTATAATAGGACAGCCAGGGGACCATACATTTTTAAAGTGATTTTTTTAACATTACAATTTTAACCCAAAATATAGAGTAAAAACGACTCTGTTTCTCTCTTTCAGACACATACCAACACACATATACACACACATACACAATCGTGTCATATTCACACATACGCTATCACTAAGTCGTACACTTAAACACTCACACATGCAGACATACACATGCGTAATCTCATATCAAAACCACACACTTTCACAGCTCAAATACATACCCTCACACAAACCTTAACAAAGAGTAGACAATTCTTGTCGATGTTTCATATGTTTAACCACAGAAAATTATTTCCCATTTGTAATGTTCTCTCTTGAAAGGGAAATAACCAGTTAATACATTTGACGTACTCTCCACAGAGTTGTGTAGCGTTAATGAAAACATTCACAAAAACATTTTAGCAAGTTATTTGTAACTGAGACAAGCAAAATATTGATCTTTTTTTATTTTTCTATTTATTAAAAAATAGATATCACAGTTACAACACACATTTTTCATTCCTTTAACACTTTTTATATGAATAATCTATTAACTCCAAATAACTGTTTAGTTGAAAAGAGTTTATAATGGAATGTATAAATGCTTCTACAAGAACAATTGTGAAATTTTGCAATATTAATTAATATAAATGAAAACATATATTATCACTTGACATCAAAGTCATTAAAAACCAAACGTACTTTTAATGTATGCACGAGTCAAATAAATAAACAACAACCATCACCTTGCTGTTTTTCTAGATTGTATACATATAATCATATTTGCGTATACTATGAGGTTGTAGGCAGTGGCGTCACTTGGTCGGTTGTCACCCGGTGCGGCACCTAATGGCGTCACCCCCCCAAAGTATCAGTATATATATATATATATATATATATATATATATATATATATATATATATATATATATATATATATATATACATATATACATATATATATATATATATATATATATATATATATATATATATATATATATATATATATATATATATATATATATATATATGTGTGTGTGTGTGTGTGTGTGTGTAAGTAAAATGGTTTTCTCTATAAATGGCAGGTTTACGCCCAGGTTTCACCCCCTCCCCCATATCGGAATCTTTGATTTGCACTTAATACGACTTTTTAACTCGAATCAATCATTAATTAAACTGACATAAAACTTTTTCTACTAGTTTTTCATTTTTTTTGTCTTGGTGCCACCCCCCCCCCCTAAATGGTGTCACCCGGTGCGGTCCGTATCCCCCGCGCCCGCCTCGCGACGCCTCTGGTTGTAGGCATAGTTACTCGAATTTTAAAGATAAACAAAAACTTGTCTATAAACTAGCCCTTTGATTTTGTAGCTAAACCGAAACCAAATACAGCAATATATATAAGTTAAATTTTTTTTTAAAAGGCATGAGATGATCTTGAACTTATACGGTTATTTTGAAATCCGATTTCATACAAATTCAATATACACAATTTTATATTGATAATATAAGTAACTTTTACATCATGTAAAGTCACTTCATTCAACATTACATCACCAAAGTTGAAATATTTCCTATTGGCTGTTTAAAAACTTAACATTGTACAACATTGTATGAATAATCATGCTATTATCTCCCCTTTCTTGTCATTCTTTTTCATTGTTTTGCAATTTTATTCACATTTGTCATAAGCTCAGATTTGTGTCACTATTTAAAAAATAAATAAATAAAATGGAAATATAAAATCTCTACTTCTGTAGAAAACAAACCCACTTTTGGCAATGCTTATACCAGAAGTTAGAGTCCTCTGCTACAATTGTACAAATATTCGAAAGCCATCTGATACAAATACACAATATAGTACAAATCTGCTTAAAACGAAACATGTATTGATTTGTTTTGAAACAGAAATGCTTTAAAAAAAATATCATTAAGGTTTAAGAGAATATGTCAAATTATTGAGAAATGCAATGAGTGTTCAGAGGTGTAGGTTTTCTTGGTAACAAGCAATAACATGGTATAGTTTTTGTTTTACGGATTGATTTTTACTAAGCAAAATTTTGCCTCGACCGTTGGCTACGATGCAGCTTGTTGTTACTTCGCTTCAAACAACAGAAGGAGGCCAGGACTTTGCTGTAGGCCCGGCGGAATGCCACGTGACAGAGGGCGTACACGACAGGGTTGGTGCCAGACTTGGTGAAGGCCATCATGATGACCGCGTTCAGGAAGTAGGTCAGATGGCAGCCCTCGCAGAACGTGTTGATCATGATGACGACGAAGAACGGGCACCAGGCCAGGATGAACGTGGCACAGACGAGTGCCAACATGTTGGCGACACGTCTGCTGGCGCTGCTGTTGTTCGGGGACAGGAACCTGCCGACACTCCCCTCCCTAGCCCGACCCCGGGGCTTTGAATCTTCGCTGAGCGTGGTCACAGAACTCGACGCTCCCACACAGTAGTTGGGGTACTTATGATTGTAGTCTTGGGCGCTTGAAAGTGAGTAAGATTTCCGCAAAGTGCTTTGTTTCTTATAAGAGCTTTTGTCCGCTTCGAAGCTTACTCCTCTTAAACTTCTAGTCTTGGAAAACTTCTGGCTTAAAGTTTCTGTTTTATTCTGTCTGTTTCCTGTTCCTCGTGTTAAAAATTCGGGTGTTTCACGTTGAGGAGAAAGCACGTCTGAATTTTGGGCAGCGTTTTTGTTTTCGTCATCCAATACACCAACTTGAGCCAAAGTTGTATAGTCTTTATCGTTTTTTTGGTCCGATATTGTATTCAACTTCAGAATAATTTTCTCCTTGTCGTCCGACTGTGACTGACTAATGCTTTTAGTTTCATTGTCATATTGTCCTATATCCTTTGAAGACATACCTCTAATATGTCTTTCGTCATTCGCAATCTGAACTTGCCTACTACTATTACGATCATCTTGATTTACAGATATAGAAATAGCTTCTCTAAGCTGTAGATTATTATCACACGTACTTTTGATTTGCAAGCTGCCTGGTCGAATTCTTACGATTGAAGTAGAATTCGAATTCTTTGTAGTTGAATTCAACTTGCTTTGCTTCATTGGATACGAAATGTGATCTAACCTTGAAGCATCGTCAGTAGGAATCTTTTTGCTTTGGGTATATGAGTACCTCTCTTTATTACCAACTGCAGTGTCTTCAATGGAAATAAAGCTTATTTTCTTGTTATAGAAATCGTTGTCTCGATCGACAACAAAAACATCGTCTTGAGATTCTTCAGAGGATAATTGTTGTTGGCATCTAGAGTTAGGGCTGGTTTCTCCTTGTGTGAGAGTAGAAGAATCGAAATATTTTAAAAACAAGGATTTCCATTTACAACGCTTTAGACCTGGGTCTGTCTCAAACGTTTGGTGTTGGTTGAAATCGGATGACCGTGTGTTTACGAATTGTATCTGTGGTGGATCTAAATTTTGAAGGGATGGGGTATACGATTTCATTTCGTCTGCTATTGTGGTTTTGCTGCTTTTGAAAGATTGTGAGTCGTCTCTATAACTTGAGGACAGCGCATCGGATGTGGAAGAGCGAGAAACCAGCCTGTCCGATGTTTTATCGGATGTCAAAGAAAACCTTCTCCTGTCGTGGTCGCGAACGGTGCAGAGGACTTTAAGGTTTAGAAATATGATGATTATAAACGGTACGGTGACGCCCACTATGGAAGCGATGAAAAGAAAATTTTTGTCGAATGTTCCGTAATAACTGCAAGTTTTGGCTTCGGTGTTGAAGGCGAAGAAAGACAAACCTGTGGTTACAAAACTTATAGCCCAGGTGAAAGTGACGGTTGTGGCGTGTAACCATGGAAACCGTATCAGAGCGTCCCGGTGCTGGAAAGGCCAACAGACGGCGAAGTATTGTTCTATGGAGAGGATTATCAAGCTAATCTGTGAAGCGGTGACTACAAGAAGACAGCTTAGAAGAACCAGCCCGCACATGAACGTCGATCTGTCAAACACAACGGGGTTAACCGTCCACAGAGTGTAGAGCGGGACCGTCACGGTGCCCACAAGAAAGTCTGCGAGCGCTAGGGACCCCAGCATGACGTTGGTAGCGCGCCGCAGGGATTTGAACCTGAAGACTGCCACAAGGACTAGTGCGTTGCCGACCACTGTCCACAGGGAGACGAGAGTCAGGTACACAACACGAAAGATGGCTTCTTGTGATGACACTAACACTGACAAGTGGGACGATGTATTGGAAATATTTGCCATTTTCAATTTTTTTTTAATTTCTGATTTATTTTTTTTAAATTTTAAAAAATTTTTGTTTTTGTCTTATAAAACTATTAATTAAAATTCCCAATTAAAAACAAATTAGTTTTAATCTCCGTAAATACCCGAACGTTGTTTACCAGACGTGTTTATCTAAAGCGCTATTTCCGAATTTCTAAACTGCAACAAACGTTGTTTTTCAAATCCATTAAAACACCATCTGTTTTGGACGTCCGTTTTATTGATTTTTTTTTGCCCAGAGAGTTAGTTCATTTGTCGCCTCATCTGTTTCAATTAAAACTGCAAAGTCGTTTGCTTTGTTCTTTACTTTTTGTTGTTTGCTGAATTTTGAAAATTTCCCAACTTGGCGTATAAGTTAAATCTGTAAAAAAACAAATATACAAATACACAACGTTAGCGGTGATTACTACAATTCTACAACAATTAATCAAAATACATGCATACGTATCGTAAAGGTCATCTTGAAAATTCTAATTAGATTTAAGTCAACTTTATTGATTTAACCAGCTAATTCCCTGAAATCCTGTTACGTAAGACCTGTCTCTAAGACCAAGTCGGTGAAGCGTGACTTCACAAGCGTGACAAGAAAAGAAAGTGCTCAGACGGGATTAGTTCCTCGAGGGGTTAATCGGGCAGGTTGACATTTTCTCCTGCTTCATTAATCAAAGCAGATTTTAATTCACATTTAAGGTTCTTACTGTCTATCTAAGTCTATGTCAGTCTTTTTTTTTCTCTCTAACTCTTTTTCTCTCTATAGGCCTATATGACAACTGTTCATATCAGTGGCGTAGCCAGGATCGTCTCAAGGGGGGGGGGGGGGGGGTTCCAATTTTTACCCGGGGACAAACTTTCGATTTGCACCCCCCACCGCCCTCAGACTTTCGATTTGCACCCCCCTCAAACTTTCGATTTGCACCCCCCTCATACTTTATATATATATATATATATATATATATATATATATATATATATATATATATATATATATATATATATATATATATATATATATATATACACCGAGGGGTCTATGGGGGGGGGGTATAACCCCCCTAACCCCCCCCCTGCCTACGCCACTGGTTCATATACATTAATAGTGAGCTAGAGAGAGAAGTAATTATTATAAAAAGATGGGAGGGGTGGGTCTTAGAGAATATTGAGCTAGAAACAACTCCAAAATCAAACAACTGCTGCCTGGCGGTTTATTTTGGGTTGGACAAAAGCTATGGAAGCAAATCCAAAAAAAAAGCAACCTGAATTCGATGCCAACTGTCTATTTGGCGCATAACAAGTTGACACTTAAATTAAGAACGACGAAGTTATCAAGTAGCCGTTAGTGTTATTTTATCAAACCAAACACCTCAGCGATTTGACTTAATCAATAACCTAAAGTTATATACAATACACGTATATTAAATTATAGCGTTTCACTTAATATATTGCATGCTCATATTGTATTATTTCTATTATTCAAATAATAAAAAAAAACAACTACAAAACGAGTTCGCCTTGTTTTTTGTAAACGTCAAATATCACGTTTCTATACAACGTAGAATATTGATATTCAAGCTAAATAGAATTGAAGCTGAACCACATATAGGTATAAGTGTACGATAAGTTAACCGTGTATAATGTACGTACAGACTACGTAATAGTATTTAAATAAATATAGTGTACGTTAGCGAATTTATTTTATCAATATGTTTAACGATAACATTAAAAAAACTACATATTTTTTAAAATGTCGTACGTAAATATCGCCTTACTATTTTAGCCAATTTTAACCCCCTATTCTTCCTCATTTTATCATCTCAATTCGGTATACAAAATACACAACTATTAAATTATAGCGTTTTAGTTAATATATTTCAGCTAAGCAATGTTGTTTAATCAGTACGTTAACGGTATATACGATACATCTATATACAATTATAGTACTTTTATAATATAATGAACGTGAACATATTTTTTAAAAATATGTTTAACTACTTTATTTTTATAAAAAAAAAAAACTACCAAAAAACAAACAATTACTTTATTTAAGTTGTTTGTTTTTTGGTGTTTTTTTTTTAAAATAAGATTAATCAAAATGTAAACAACTTACTGACCTGTGGTTAATATTCTCTCCCCTCGCTGTAAATCAATGCGGTGTATTTTGTGTTGAGCTAAACAACATAAAAAAAAAATCGATAGTCGTCTTTGACAAGAAGAGAGTTCTAGAAAGTCTTCTGATCTCGATCACTTATTTGACTTCCTGCCCCGAAGCCACGATTGCCACCTTTAGACAGCGCTGTTTTAAAGACTCATCTTATATTGATAGACCGACATGACTGTGTGTACTCACGTTTGGGACTGAGGAACTGGCCAGTCACGTGCTGTGTGGTTGGGAGGTGGACTCGCGTGAGCACTGGAACCCACCTCGGGTGACTATTGACCGTTGTATAACTGTTAGATGACGCACGGAAATGTTCGTTGAAGTATCGTTTTAGTGTTACTAGACAACACGACAACTACAAATGTACATATTGTGTTTTAAAATATGGGTTCACATACTGAGTTATTAGATTTAGAATCCACACGTCATAATCACATTTAATCCAAATTGTATTAGAAATTAAATTTTATGTTCATATATTGGGGGGTAGGCGTGGTCGAGCCGTATAGTTCATGGTTGCTTAACAGAAAAGTAGTTCAAACCCCGTGAAAATGGTTCTCAATAGCTGGGGACAACCACTCATCAAGTTCTGCCTTGTAGTTTGTTGTTAGTTGGACAAAGGCTATGGAAGCGATTCCAAAAATAGAAACCGGCTGAAATTGGGGTCAACGGCCAATAAGGCTCATAACAAGTTGGCCAGTAATACTTAATTGAGTTGGAGGGAATCCCTTTTAACATTACTATTAAGAACGAAGAAGACATCCATATATTTATGGTGCTACTGCTATGTATGTAGCATGATTGTTACGGGCGTCTTAATTTTTATCTAAACTAAAGAGTTTGTGATATCCATATTATGTTTACGTTTTAGACATTCCTAACTCATTTTATGGGAACAGAGAATGCCAATGTATAACTGATTTGACCAAAATAATTCTTGTAATATATTTAACACAAGTCTAATAAAACTTGGTAACTCAACTTTTTATATACCTTACTTCAAGCCTCTCCAATAATGACATTGTTCTAATTATTATTAATGCACTGTTTAGTTGTACTGAAATATGTATTGATTTTGCATAAGTAATTTATGATGTCCTTCCTATGCATGCTGCCTTTCTTGTGTATTCTTCAATATTTGTACTTGCTGCCCACCCTGTTGACGCTGCCCTCCTAGTTTATACTGCTATCACAGTTTATAATGCCCTCTGTGTTAAAGCTGCTATTTTTTATACTGCCCGTATTGATTACAACGCAACACTATATCGATACAGCGTGTATAACACAAGCTATACATTGTCTCATCATACACAAAAATCCAGCGAGTCTGAAGTTGCGTGCTGTGTAGCAATTAGCCTGCTTTCGGCACATCTCATTTTGATTCATAATGATGAGTTTCTTTGTGTGTTGTCACAGACTGGTTTGGTATCCATTTACCACAACGTATGTGGCATCAGCATAGGTCTGGTCCTAACTATCAGAGCGTAGTTGTTAGATGGCGTTTAGACACGTTTAGAATATATGACATTTTCATGTTATTATTGTTTATCCAATGTTGGTAAGTAAAAATATGTATGGTTGGCTATGCAGTGTGTTCAGAGTTGAACTGGCTGTGTCCAAGAGTTTAACACCACATTATAACTGTCTTATGGAATTTTGTATCATCAAACCTTATGATCATACTCAGATTGCTACCGGGACATATTTTTCTTGCCGCCGGGATTTTTTTCACTAGTGGCTCACCATGAGTTTTACCTGTGGCCCACCATGATTGTTTAACCTGTGGCCCACCATGATTTTTTTACCTGTGTCCCACCCAGATGTTTTTACCTGTGGCCCACCCAGATGTTTTTTACCTGTGGCCCACCCAGATATTTTTACCTGTGGCCCACCCAGATGTTTTTTACCTGTGGCCCACCATGCTTTTTTACCTGTGGCCCACCAAGATTTTTTTACCTGTGGCCCACCAAGATTTTTTTACCTGTGGCCCACCCAGATGTTTTTTACCTGTGGCCCACCATGCTTTTTTACCTGTGGCCCACCCAGATGTTTTTACCTGTGGCCCAACCAGATTTTTTTAACCTGTGGCCCACCATGATTTTTTACCCGTGGCCCACCCGGATTTTGTTACCTGTGGCCCACCCGGATTTTTTCGATAGAACAGGCAGGCCATTCCACAAACGAGTGTGTTGTAGTCAATTTATAAATGGAATTGTTCACGTCCATTTTGTAGAACTCACCTCCATTCAAAAAGCGCTGAGTTAGTGAACTACGATGGATATTCAACGACCACACCAATGCAGCACGGTTGAAACAAAACAAATCAACCGTTAATCTCCTGGTTCGATTAAAATTAACATTGGGAATAAAGGTGTTAAAACTAACCGTTTTTTAAATGTCTTTCAGTCCAGATAATTTTTTAGAAGACAACTGCAAAGTTGAAATGTTCACGTCTGTTCTGTGATATGGTAAAAGATACGTTTTATACCTCAAAAGGAACAAGGTGTTAAGAAGAAAATGTATTGGGCGACTTGAATGTAAGATAGACATTGTGTTACGGGTAAGCACTTTAAATTTCTGGAGGCGGAGAGGGGTCAATAGTCAAAGTATATATTGTCATTTTGGATGTTATATGTTCTTATATCTCCCGTGGGAGAAGGAAGAGGATCTACTATGGACAGTACCTACCGCTACTTACCCCATAAAGGAAACCTTAAAGAAAGCAACGGGGAAACCATAAATGAGGAAACACCAATTTTTAAAATCGTAAAATGTACGTTCAAGCAATGTTTTTAAAATAATAAAATAAAGAGGGGAGAGGGGT